CAGTTGCCGAAGTCGGTGTCTTGCATATACGTAGTTACATATGTATTGTTAGACCGGGGAAGATTCCCGCGAGCCTCGTAATGGTCAGATCCTTGAATAACATACCGAATTCGACACTGCACCCACACATTGTACATATAGACTGGAGGAATACATGCAAGGATTCGGACAGGAAGCATGGCATAGATGCAGGCGTGAGGCACATCAAAAGTCGACAAACTCTTCACCAGACAATGGATCAGATCACCGGTTGTAATAAGACACTCCCAGTCTATAGCATTGCCAACGAGATATATCCGGAGCGCCACGCCTTTGACAGATGCCAAGAGCAGACTTTTAGCCTTGTGACGGAATATCCGTAGGTAGGTAGACGGCTATTTGACTTGGACCCTTGCAAGAACTGTCAGATTTTAAATAATTCCGAGCGATTTTATCCTGGAAATTTGACAATCAATGGGAAGTGAGTGAAAATTGCGCCATATATCTGCAATAGGAATATGAGCCGGGGCCAATTCAAGTCTCGAAGAGCCTCCCCCTTTGTCCAGGGACATCTCGATGCAAGTCGTTTCTTTGTTAGCTTAGTTAGTGACTAGTTACCGTACCCAAAAGAACTTCCCATTCAGATGTGATTTCGCTGCAGTGCAGATAGTCGGGATCATCAGGGCTCACATGCTAATCAAATACCTTGCCTAGTAGTCAGGAATCCCTTTCCCCACGGCCATGAGCTAACGAGCTAGATGGGCAGGAGAAAGATTGAGTTTTTGTCTGGGGCAAAGATTGCGGGGAAGACAAACATCGACATGGAAAGGCAGTTCCCCGTCTGAGAGAAATACAAGTCAATTGCCAACGTTGGAGTCTGTGTCTCTCTGGTACATGTGGTTGACTTTGCAACAAGTGGAAGCCCATTAGGACATGTTCAAGCTTGCGATTCCCCGCAACCATTACGAATCCCTCCGTAGCATCTCATATAAGAGCGCAGGTTGAGGATGGCGTCGGTCTGTTAGCCTCCCAGATCGGTGGCTGTAAGCTTTCACAGGCGCCGTTGTCAACATTCAAGACATCGCACCAACGGGGCGAAGAGTGGCTGTAAAAGGAAAGATGCCACGCCATCAGCTTTGCAGGTCCCGCAGACTTGAGCGAAAGTGGCTGCCATGCCCTGAGCATGGGATACATCGATATTGCTTATCCGTACCTGCATGCAATGTCCCAGCAAGGCACGGCCGTTGTGCTTGTCCAGAGAGTGGCATCTCCCACAAATGGCGCTGACGGTTGTCTATGCTTGCTGAGATGCGTTAGTAGGTCGATATGTCGACCATTGTTTGTGGTGTAGAAAAACATGGTTCGATGTGATATGTGTGATAGACGACGTCAGCTCACCACAAGAGGTTGCTTGCATTTCGAGTCGACCAAAGGGAACGGTGCTCGAACAGATCTGTCACAAATACCTCCTTGAGATTTCCGGGTGAAATATTCTTGTTGGAGAGGTGGTAAGACTTCAGGTGGTTGAAGTGAAAGGGGTGTTCCGAGATCTATATCGTTGAGTCCATGCCTATAACAAAGAATTGGTAAATACGCATATACCAGTTGATTTGCGAAAAATGTCATGCTTCGCCGTAAGGATTAAATACGATATAGCTGAGAGCGTCATCTTTCAACAGCGATTGGACCCAACATAATTTGATGATAGTGGGTTCGTTGGTGAGCGAAAAATTCAAGATGCGAATCAGAAGCTGAGCTGCCATGTTGAAAGACAAGACAGAGTGACGAGGTTCCTGAGTGGCAAAGAGCAACAAACCAACCAGAACCAAAAGCCAGCCAGCAACAAGAGGGAGCGTTGCATTGGCGGGAGTGACAGGGGAGCCGCTCAGCGGAGGCTGCGGAGCGACAGTGACTGACCAGGGGTCGACAAGGGTGTCAGAAGGACCGAGAAGCCAGTCAAAGTTACGGGACAGATGCTCTCGAGTGCCAAGAAGGCGATGCTAGTGATTGAAGCATCCAGAGAGAGAGACTTTTAGTGGCTAAGCCAGCCGCGCAGGCTTTTGATCCTCTGCTGGTGGCGCACCGGGACATGTCGAATGACAAGCCGAGAAAAGACGTTGGATGTGGATTGGAGTATTTACGCGTATGTTGGCTCTCATTACGGAGTATTAACCTGCCCAGCCCAGACATGCCTTGTCGAACCTCGTGATGATATCAATCAATGGACGCTGACTGCCCGGGATAGACACACCAGCGTTAGGCGAGTGTGTAGGAAACAGCGAACAATTGGTACTAGAAAAGACACAGTATCCCAGACAAGACCCTTAGTATGAAGTTACTAAGATTAAAAACGGTGATAATGACTTTATAAGTGTTACTTATTATATTCTATGTATAGTCGACGTCGTCTTCAATGGCAACCCGAGACTCCACTGGGTCTGCCTTGTGGCCCCTGTGGAAAGAAACAATTTGTGGGTGAACCGTACTGGGGGAACCTAAGAGCAGTCCCACAGATCGATGCCTGTAGCCTGTCCATCAAATCCCAATCCCTGCGTAGCTCCCTTCCTCCATCACTTGGAAAGTCAAATACGTACCCAATTTGATTCATTCAGGACGCTACTTGTATAATGCAAATGCACCAACAGTCAACCACTATCATTTGTTGGATGACAATGTCACATTGCATGTATCGTATGTACATCAGAGACGTCGGCATTGCACTGATTGGTGACCACCTCTTGTATTCCAAGGACTCGGACTGTTGCACTGAGTCCAGTCCAGTCCAGTCCAGTCCAGTCCAGTTCAGCTCAGTTCAGCTCCACTGTCCAACGGAGCGAGTCATCTGTGCATTGGCCCAAGTTTCATTTCAAGCACGGTTGATGAGATGCCCTGAGAGTTGTCTCTAGTAAACAACGGTCTGCGGTGGTGAGCTGCTACTAGAGTGGCTACTTTATATCTAAAAACATAGAGGTCATTATTAGTGTTTTTGATCACTTGGGCCGCCCACTGACTCGAATTCATGCAACAAACAAAGATCGCCAGAGCTCCCCTCGACGTCGACCGGCTGCACCCGCAAGTCTACAATGCAAGTGCCAAACGTTCTCCGCAGGCCGTTATTTTCTTTGCTTCTTGCTATGATGTGCAACGACTCTTGGCAAAGCCTTTCCCTTTTTGCATCTTCTTGTCAGCACGCTGTATGTATGTACTTGTCTACCGTTCTTGACCATCCAATCAAGGTTGAGCGTTGGCAGACGGTTGGCCTGCTCGTCAAGACTCGTCATTTCGCATGCATCGAGTCAAACATGTTGTTTGTTTTGGCTGAGAAACTACCAATGGCACCCAACAGTCCGAGAGATCCTACTCCGTACTGATACTGTACATAGTAGGACTTGGGTGATACTGATTACGACTGTTGATAACTGACTGCTGTCGATCTCGGCGAGCTAAGTACACGGACCAGACCTAACAACGGCCAACCTGACACATACCTACGAATATAGTCACTACAGTCAGGTATGTGCACGCACCGGTCTGCTGTTAAGATTAAACTGCTACTGTGCCGTTCGTTCGTTCGTTCGTTCTCATTTAGTCAGATCACTGATCACTCATCGCTCAAGATCCATTCCCAGGCGAGATTTCAGACAGTCCCTGTCGCCTGTCGCCTGTCGCGTCAGTCAGTCAGATTCATCAGTCAAACAAGACCGGGGAGTGTCGTGACGGCCAAGACATGCATCGATGACCCCTGAGTCCCCGCCCCTCCACCTCCAGGCCTCCGGGGCCAGGCACCGCAGGCAGGGCAGGCTACAGGGCGTTGCTCCACTTGGAAACCTCCGGCTCAGTTAAACCCTCGCCTCTGAAAGCCCCCCCCCTGTGGACTTGCAGACTTGGGTTCCAAAATATGCCCGTTTTGGTATCTTGGTGAACTTAGCCGACTTAGACTCTGCTGCACCACGCCCAAAAGTCCCTAGGTCCAGGAACCTTTACCTCTCTCTGCCTCTGCCTCTGCCTCTGCCTCTTGTGCCTCCTCACCACGGCTGCGATGCGATGCACGGGAGTGGGTCATTCCCAAGTTTAGCAACCCCTGTACTCCGTAACCTCACTCGTTCCCTTCCCCTCGTCGCCCGCCTCTGCCATGCCCTTTCTGAATCGGTGCCCACTCGTCATCACAGACCATATCCCCCAATGATACTTCGAATCTTGGTGTTCAGCAGTCTACAGCGCCTGTATATTCAACAGTATAGTTACCAGGCCTCTCTAATTGGCCCCTTTCCACCACCCTGGTCCTGGTCTGCCATGCCTGCCATGCCATGACTGATCCAGGATGCCCCGAATGGATGGTAGAGATGCAGATGCACAGAAAGAAAGAAAGAAAGAAAGTCTCCTACTCCGTACTTACAGCCTTTTCGTTCTCCAGTCTGGCAGGGGTGCTGAGAAGCAGCAGCAGACCCTGCTGCCTCCACCCTCGCCTCAAGTCTTGTTCTCGATCCCCCATTGTCAGTGCTTTCGAGGTCGGTAGTGGTTGTTATACATGCATACTCATGTCCCCTCCCCTTTTTCCAACTTATATGACCCGTGTGCCCTCCCTCCTCACGCGAGCGACTGACTCCGTCTTCGCTGGTCGTCTCATGAGTCTACGTGCCAATCGCACTGTTGGTGTTGTTATGCCAGCTGTCTTAATAACTCTCGTGTAATATTCTCGCCATCCTATTATATCATTCCTTGCTGTGCTGCTTCTTGTCCCCTCGAGGCCATCTCGGTGCTGCCATCCGGTCATACAGCTTCCAACTATTCGCGAAACGTTTGCTATGTTGTAACAACGCTTAATCAATCCGACCTCGACCTCGACCTCGACCTCGCTCTCCTTGGAACTAAACGGAAAAGAGCGACCTTGGATAGTCTCTAATTTACTGTTCTTGATCTTGGAGTATCAGTTAACGGCGGCATAATACGTACGACCTTTGAAGGACCGGCACCTCATACCCATACACCACATTCTAACGACTTCTCCTACTCATTTCAGCATGGCCAACAACACATCCGGGGTCAACCTTTGCCCTGCGCCGTTTTGGGATGCTGCGTTATTCCCTTCTGAGGGCGGATGTAAGTGAGCTGCGAATTGGAAACACTCAGTGATCCCCCTGACAGACATCTAGTTATCGATGGGCGCCTCTGCCAAACAGTAGCAACTATCCAGTGTTGTCTGCCTTGTCCAATGACGGACTGGGTCTACCCTGATCGCTTCGACACCTTGACGGCGGTTGCGAACTGGGTTTCGCTCTTCAGCCAGATTTGTTGCATCTTCCTTCTTTTATCATGGGCATTCTTGCCTGTAGAAAAGACCAACCGCCATTACCTGAGCATCTGTCTTACAGTCGCCATTTTGCTTATGAATGTAGGTGACGGGCACAATGACTTCCTTCGCGTGTCTAGTCTCTTGAAGTCGCTGACATTTTTTGGACTGTAGATGGGTTTCGTGATTCCTCTCGCAGCACAACCAGAGCAATGTTTCAATACGATCACTCCGCATAGTATGCAGACTAGCAAGGTCTGTGGCGCCTCTGGTACATTTCTCCTTCTTGGTGGTTGGGCAGGTATCATGTGGGTGTTTCTCAGGTCGGTATCCCTTCACCTACAGATATGCTGGCAAGTTCTCGTCGGCAAGAACTTCATGATCTTTGCTCAGGCAGCTGGATGGGGCGTCCCTATCCTGGGTATAATTCTGGCTCTCGTCTTCAGCGGCGTCTCGTTCCGTTTTGGTGCTACATGCCATATCAACCACGAGAACAGTCTGGCCGACTTTTGGATCCCGCTTCTCCTGTTCGCTGGAATGACCGTTATTATTACTTTTGCCACCTTTGGTTATTGTATCAAGGTCTACTTGGCATCCTTGTCTGACAATGGCGCATCCTCCGGGGGCTCTAGCTTGCCCACTTATACACAAAGCATCAAGACCATGAACCCAAGGCAGGTCTACCGTCGAGTTCGTCGAGTTATCGCACTCCAATGGCGTGGTATTGCCATCGTGCTCATCATCATTGCTGATGTCATCTTCTTCTCTGTCGTTTTTGTCTTTCAAGACAACGTGGTTCAATCTGTTACCGACGATCCTACCAAAGCAGGCGCTTTCGTCGAATGTCTCTTCAAAGAAAAGGGTAAAAAGGAACCTTGTCTAGATGAGGCATCCTCTCTGGTCATCAACGAAGCAACTGTCACGGCTGTTCTCCTTCTCTTGGCGGTAAGTGTCCTTTATTTGTATTGCCATGTTGAAAAGTTTGCTGACAACCATAGCTGAATGGTCTCTGGCTGATCCTCTTCCTCGGAAGATGGTCCATGGTTCAAGGCTGGATTGACTTGATCAAGAAGCCATTTACTCGGAACAAGAAGGAATTTGTGTCGGTCGACGCACGCGTTGACGTCAAGAACCATCCACGTTCGTACGAGATGCTCTCAAGAGATTCGAGCGCGGCAGTAACACCCATTACTCCAGTGAAGTCCCCAGAGAGTGGACGAAGAACTCCTGATTACTTCGGTTCGACTGCCCGCTATCATGCGCCAGCGCGTTCCTTTTCGAGCCCCAGGCCTCCGCCTACTGGGCAGGAGACGGCAGATTCATATCCGATGCCGAATTATAGCAAAGAGATGAACCCCCTCGCCATGAACCGAACATGATGAGGGCTGAACGCACAGACGAAAGAGTTCAGAGGAGACTACTAATGCATGAATGTACTTACATATAATCTATATACCCCCGGGAAACGGCAATTCGCACGCTGGCTCGGATGATACCCGAAAATACGACGGCCGCAGAGCCATCAAGACCGTCAGCCGCCATTCCTATCCATATCAGGCTTAGGAGATTGACATCAACGACTGCATTTACTTTGTTAACCAAACTTTGAAATGGAAACGCCCATCAATACAATACGACAGCGAGGTGTTTGAACTTTTGCAATTCGACACGGGAAAATAAAGGAGGAACAGCAATTGAGGAAATGTCAATGTGACGAATTAGCCGACCAAACTCAATGACGAAAAGCAAAGGAAGAAGGAGGGGGCGGGGGCGGTAATGGTGAGTCTGTGACTCCATATATAGAATGTCATTGTCTCAGACATTTGTCCTTCCGCGGGAATATGCAAGGATGGGCGGAGATAAGACGACTTATGTCGCGTGCCGGCTTGTTGATGATGGCCGTGTTGCAGATCGACTACGACCCCGAGTTTCCAACATTGGCCGGGAATGGCAAAGACAAAAGCTGATCTGAATGAATCATGGAGGAGCCAAGCAGGTTGTGCAAGTACCGGAAGCTGCGGATTCAGGAACACTGCAATGGAGTTATGCGGGCACCGAGAACGAATCGTCGTGTTCGAGTTCGGCGATACGGGCTTTTATCAAGATGCCAAGCACCGCCGTGCGATCTTCCCTGATATGGGTTGTTTGACATGCTCCAGATCATGACATCTCCATAGCGGTAACGCTGGAAACAAGCTGTCAATTAACTACTTATTAATAATGTCAAGCTACATACAAAAGATGAGAAAACCCGCTATGTCCGTCCATCCGTGAATGAACGACGAAGCGAGCCGATTAGTCAAATAAGTAAGCTTAAGCTCACCAATGACGGAATTGAGGTCTCTGCCCAATGCCGTGTCGCGTGGTGTCATGGCCACTCTCCATCAACCACGCTCTATTAGTCACAACGCCCTGCATACCCTTCCGGATGAGCCGGAAGAGGACGGCCTGAGTATAACTTGGCGATCGGACTGGTATGTCAAAGAGCTCCATGGGTACTTGAAGGCTCAAGACATGATAAATAGCTCCGAGCCAGCCTTCTCAGCGTGACTTGTTGTCTTTGACGATTCCGCCTTGTTCCCAAGGTCATACATGATTAATATCTTCACAAACGTTACCATTGAAGTTTTGTTTTAAGCCCGTTCATACACCACAGATTATATCAGCCCGTGGAAAGCCCTCAAGACGGCCTACCAAGCAAAGATAAAGATTTCCCCCGTCTTTATCGAGCTCAGCATATCGATACCCTCAGTTGAAGTTCTCAAATACATGACCGAATACGATAAGGCTCAGAAACGTGACTTCAGCCTCAAAGTGGAAGAATGTGGTCAGGTCTTCGCGTGCTGCATTTCCTTGGCAGGACACGGCCCCGCTCTCCGACTCCGACTCCGATAGTGGACGACTCCCAACAACGGAACCACTTACTCGGCGATTGGACGGATATTGAGCAGAATCGTATCATGGAGGAAGAAAATGAGCATCAAACCGAGGACGAAGAATCGGAACAAGACTTGGGACCAACGAAAAAAACCAGACGGCGTGTTCGATTCGCTGACTCGGAGAAGCCAACAGCTAAAAGGCGATCGTGGATCCGGACACGAACACGGAGATGTAGTTGTCTACGTAGTCCAAGCAGCGCAATCCTCCTCGCTGCCTTAATACTGTGTCTTGGAGCCGGATACGCATATCACTGGAAGGTCGAGACCGCATTGCATCGGAGCTGGATCCCTGATGCTGCCAGCGAACGATTTAGCCAGAACCCGTTGCCCCCGCCTCCAGAGCATCTTCAAATCACCAACTATACACTACCTTTGCGGACGAGAGGACGAGATATTGTCGATGGCAACGGCCGTCGCTTCAAGTTAGCCTCGGTGAACTGGTATGGTGCCAGTGATGAGTTCTTTGTCACTGGAGGTTTGGATATCCAACATCGCGATGATATTGCAAAGACTATCAAGAAGCTCGGCTTCAATAGTGTGAGGCTGCCTTATGCTGATGAGCTGGTCATCAGGAATCCAGTTGTCGAAGAAAAACACCTTCGCGCAAATCCCGACTTGGTGGGTCTGAGGGCACTGGACATCTTCCATGCTATTGTTGAGACGCTGACTAACTCGGGCATCGCTGTCATTGTAAACAACCACATAACCAGCGCAACCTGGTGTTGCGGTGCTGATCCTTGTGATGCTGGCTGGTCGAATGATCATTTAGGCCCCATTTGTCGGGTGCGACAGACCGAGGATGAATGGATACAGCACTGGGAGACTATCATGCTCCCACACACCAATAACCCGCTTGTCATTGGTGTTGATCTCAGGAATGAGATCCGCGGCCTTTGGGGGACCATGCCGTGGTCGAAGTGGGCACCAGCTGCTGAAAGATGCGGTAACCGACTTCTTCAGATGAACAGGGACTGGCTCGTCATAGTCGAGGGCACTGAGTCTTCCAACGATCTGTCCAAGGTGTGCAAACGTCCTATCCTGTTGGATGTTACCCACCGGCTAGTATACTCAGCACACGTGTACGCTTGGTCTGGCTGGGGAAGCTGGGAGGGCCGTTTCCTTCAGCGAGACTACGACTCATTCGCCAAGACGATGCACCATAACTGGGGATACATCCTCGAAAAGCAGATTGCCCCTGTGTGGGTTGGCGAGATCGGGGCGCCTGTGCAGCCGTCTGTTGGTGATGCCAATTACTGGCAGCACCTAGTTCGTTTCCTCCAGGAGAAAGATTCCGATTTTGGATACTGGGCGCTGAATGCCCGGAAGCCCAAGGGGAATGCAACGGAGAGATATGGACTACTACAAGATGATTGGAAGACTCCAGTGCTTGATTATCGGATGAAGGATATGCTTGACCTCATGTCGGCTTGAGCATGATGATATATATATATATCTTACGACTATGGATGAAATGAGAATGCATTGCTGGGTTGGGTTTTAAATGTGAATTTTTGGAGGATATACCTTGTGTCAACGAAATGGAATCTTGTGGGAGTGGACGTTTGTGTGCGTATCAATGAGTGACGGGTGTAACAACAAGCCTGTAACAACAAGCCTTTTTCTTGTTATCAAGTTCTTAACCTACAGAACTAAGACGTTCATGGTGTCAGAACCTATGGGTTCAACATTGCTATCTATCGGCACACAATGTATCAGCATCAGTTGTTAGAAATTCCCGTGAAAGACATCTTGTGATTGAATCAGTTTGTGCATCCCCTACCTAAGGTATTCCAGCAATTGACATCATCGTCGACAATTGAACCCACTGTTAGCAACACAAAGCAACCCGCATAAGTAAGTACTAGGCTAGGCACTCTCTTAAAGAATATACTTGGAATTAAGAGCCCGGCTGACCTAACGTTATTCCTTCTTTTTACTCCATAGGTAGGTACTTAAGTAGTTATCGGCACCTCAGCTTACAGTGGAGGTTTCGCCGGCTCTTTATCGATAACAAGGGACCGACGTGCCGCACCCCGCGACTCTCATCCTATCCTCTTGGAGAAGCAAACCGACGATCGAGGTTTGATTGAGCTGCAAGTGCTGTACTGCGCTGTTTTGTGCATCATCACGCAGCTTCCCCCAGTAACAGCAACGGTATTCAGCCTTCTGCATGAGAACGACAGCCATATCACATCACATTGCATCCTCGAAGATCAAGCGAATCAGTCGCCTTACGCGCGCAGGGCATTACCCAATCCCATCCATCCATCCATCCATCCATCCATCCACCACCTGGATACAATCGCTAAGCTGCAACACCTCCCCGCGCATGAGTTGTGCGAGAGCTGATGGAAAGTCAACAACCTTACAAGCGCAACTTCCAGCCAATATGCGTGGGGAAATGCTATGCGCAAACAGCCACTGACCGGGTGAGTATTGTTCGTGAGCGTAGAATATTCTTTTTCGCTGATGCTTTGTTCGCGATCTTTCAGTTTGGCGATGGCGCCAAAGTCGCAGTCCGTGATCGCGAGCGGGTGACTTTGGGCATGCACCCCCAGAGCGCCGAGCTACCCTTTACCTGGCCCGGGAACGACTCGGACGACGAGAGAAATGCCGGGCCCTCGATATACCGCTTGATACCATCTATGCAGAAATTTCGGAGCAACCTGACTGCTCTGTCTCAAGTGTACAATGTGCGACCATACCAATGCCCCTTGATAGTCTCAATGCTGACGACACATTCCAGCTCTACTTCTCTGCTTACCAAGGCCGAATATTCGTCTACAGACCCCGTGCCGCCCCGAGCCAGGCACTTCCGAGCCAACCTGATCAACAACTGAAGCCTAAAGCAAGTGCTGCCGCCCAGCTAGTCGGCGGACAAATTGACGAGTCTCGGCCACACACAGTCAACCATATGATCACAGGGTTCCTTGGCGACGAAGAAATAGTCCTCGCGTGCTACGACGACGGAGATGTGGTGGCATATTACACCAAGGAAATTGAGAAACATGCCAAAGAATGTCGTGCCACAAGCGACAGGTCACACAAATCCGTCCCCAAACAATTCTTCCACGAAAATGTTGGAATATCAGCTTGGGGCTTGGCTGTTCATCGAAAGTCTCGCTTGATCGCCGTCAGCTCAAATAGGCATGAGGTTGTCGTCTTTGCTCTGGCTCTATCACAAACCCCCCCGAGTCGCAGGACAGGCTTGTCTAGCACGACACAACTAGATATACCAACACGAACCCGGAATTGGCGGATCATAATACGGATGGCTCCTAGTGCAGACAATATCCCCAACGTTTGTTTTGTGGATGACTGTCGAGGCCACGCGCAGCGAATTTGCGCAATCGACATCAAGGGAACTGCCTGGTTAGCAGATATTTGGCAAGGAAACAGAGGTCTAATAGTCATTCCACCACTATGTTCAAATCTACTGAAAAGTGAGGAGTTCCACCCTGCTCCATCCAGAGGATGGGGGATATTTGCTCTGGATGAAAGGGATTTTCTCAAGGTCAGGACTACAGAGGAGCTATTCGGCGTGCCCACCAATCGACTAGAAGTTATCCCAGCCGGCAGTGGCTGTCAACAACCATTGGTGAACGTCAGGAACGCAGTAGCTAATATTCCTGATAATCCATACAATATGTTGAGACCACTAAGCCAGCCTGGTCCAATGATTCCTCTTGCTTGGGAACCTGATATGCCTCAGCTAGGGTTTGTTGTACAGGCTGAAGATCTTTTGGGAGGCGATGTTGGCGAGGAAGAATTCGACACCGAGGATGAGACCGATGAGGAACACGATGAAGAAGGCGACTCGGAAGATGGCTCAGAAGTTGATTCGGAGGAGGATGCTATCGTCGCGGGGACAGACTGGAGTTCCTTTTATTTCCAAGCCCATGAATTGGCGCAAGGTCTGAGCACCTACAAGTCACCTGGTAGCTCTCCTGACAATCTTCATGCTTGGGATGCGACATTCAAGCAGCAGGACTCTGAGGGTCAGGGAGAGAACAGAGAAGATCTGGGGCAAGCTGCGAATGGGAACGCAACAGCTGCCCATAAGCTCGACATGACATATTTCCCTCACAGCAACACGGTCTATCGAACACCCCGAAACCCAGAATTGATGATGGCTTATTGGGGGAGACCTGCGGAGTATAACCGGCACCCACAGTTGCCAGAAGCGTATCTGGCAGATCTCGGGAAAAAGCTGTTTCTGTTACGGACCTACGAGAAGGATATAGAGTTGCGCTCATTCTCTCCAATCCCGAGCAGGGTCTCGCCGACGGAGTTTGGAGAAATCTGCTCGGACGCGCTCAAATTTGGACGATTTCGCGACCCTGGGTTGAGGCGACATTTCCATGCAACCAGTAGACTCAACATGATTGCGTTTGCCCCTGAACTCTCACTTATGGCTATCGGGTCACCAACTGGGCGCGTCGTGCTTCTGACATTGACTCGGAGGGCTGTCCCTGCGGAGCGCGATGATGGAACATGGGAGCACGGATTTCGAGTAGAGTGGGTGCTGCCGACAGGACCCGACGAGATGGAACATCGCAAGACGTTGCGACCTATGCATGGAATGGCCATGGGGCCAGTCCAGGTGGGAGACGAGATCGGAGGTGCAGGACCTACGATGCCCAGGCGATATCGGCTGATGCTGCACTATCGAAACCACGACATATTGTCATATGAGCTGACGCGAGAGGAACAGTCGGGAAAGCTGTGCATTTTCTGATCCAGGGGCGTTTCACTTCCATTTCTGAACTACATCCTGCATACTTTTTCTTCGCTGGGAGTCTACTGGCTTATTGATACCCGGTGGACGCATTCATCATTCACTGCTAGGTTAGGAATAATGGAGTTTTGGACCTTAGAGGCGTAGGTAGTTTGCTCTTTCGGGGGTTCTATAAGAATATGCTTGTGCTAACTCTTGGCGATGGCCGCTGGTGCCGATCTTGACGGGGGACCATTTGATATCAAGCCAGATTTCGATATAGTCTCGCCAATGCTCGCCTGCGCTATGGACTCGGAGGTGTGGCATTTGGCCTAATTTATTGTGCCTGGATTTGCTTTATCTATAGCAAAACAAACGCAGATGAGTTCCAATGCTCTAGCAGGTACATACTTGTGTTACAAACCACAGAGAATCGCTACTGGATCATTGTTCTTTCGGGAGAATCAGGTTCACCAGTCAAGAGTATAAATCGGAACGGAGGGCGGAGTTGAAATCAGCCTAGCTTACGTCGGGAGTGGTGACAATTATGAATTATTTTAACTATGCCTCCGTATCTCGGGGTTCCGGGTCGGCGAGACGAGACAGCCACCCCGCAATGCGATCCGGGGACAAGGGCAATGCCTTCTAGAATAGAACGAGGATAGGACAGGAGTGAGGCTAACAGAGATAGCGGTACAGTACATGCTGTAGAGGGCAGGGAGGGGTGTACAAACCTTGTCTTTGACGGACATGACCAAGTGTAATTTGTGTTGAAATGATGGTTTGGCGAGTCTTGATTGGTGGAGGAGAGGCTAGGGAAGATAAGAAAGAGGACATCGCTTCTGATCAGCTCGTGATAGAGCGTGTCTGATTGGACGGGTAAAACCTGGGGATGATGTTATGTTTTGCTAGGATTTGGAGTTGGAGTTGGAGTTGATATTCATGGCACGTCATTCAACTTTTCAAGTATACAAATACAGGTAACCACGCCAGTCAGTCAGTCAGTCAATCATCAGGTATCTTGCTTGGGTAAGGCACCAAGATGAGCGGATGGGTTTCAGATGCTTCAGTGAAAGTGGCCAGCTTTCGGTGAGATACCTATTTCCCTACACGATCAAATGTGTGCTGAGACTTGAGGTGAAGGAAGAACTGTGTTGTGAGGTACCTATGTATGTAGAGTGCCGGCACCAAAACTCGGAGCGGACCCGTAATGCCCCCGAAGCAACGGTACGGAAGTGAGCATCCGGCTGCCGCTCTACCGGGATGCCCCGGAATACAGGGGCCAAGCCTTTTTTTATCCCCGTCAGCTCGAAATGCAGGGCAGTCCGCCAAGGTTTGGCTGTAAGCTGGGTATCTGTAGCCAAGCGATGGATTTCCGCCAGATCGGATTTCGATGTCCGAAAAGGAAAGGCGAGAAAGCATGGGGGGAGGAAGGATTGATAGATTTGCAACCACGAGAGCATCGCTGTATATGAGTCGCATGGCATATAAATAAAAGTACATAATAAATTGATGAAATGCTTTTCTTCATTGACCACGGCAAACTTCCATCAACACAAATTGTAGAGAATGTCCCCGGGAAAGATGGCGTCAGGCTTGTGATTGGTTGACGAGTTACGATGTGTCCATGAATTTAGCAATCTACCCTTGTTCTCATTAAACAACTTTTTTACTCACATGAATTGGCAAAGTACCCAAGTACCGACCGATCAAGCCTAGACTCCCCCCACAAAAAACTAACGACAACAACCTTCTTTACTTTGTGCGTCTGATAAGAAAAAGAGTACTTACTCCCTAGAGCCATGCACAATTGCTCTTTACACGTGAGGGGGCGTCAAATGAGATGCTCGCTTTGGACAGCTTCCGATACTTGGAAGTTGGGGACCAATTACAAGCAAAAACATCTTTCTTATCTGAGTGACGCCAACGATTTAGCAACGGGATGGTGCGTACAATATCGTGGTACATAGGTAGGTAGCTTGGTTCACGTGTAAAACGCAGGTGAGAGGGAAGCAAAAGAAGGTTAATTTGCTTAAACGAAACCATCCAATCCGATGCTCAAGTGTGTGGTGACGTTGGAGATGAAGCGATTGGTAGCCAGTCTCACCATGTACTGTACCTAGGTAGGTAGGTAGGCAGGCATATCTCGCCAAGCCTTTTACAGATAGATCAAAGACCAAGAGATTGCGCTCTCGGCCGTTTTCAATACGATTATCGGGCGACTTCTCAAGAGAGGAACAAAAAGGAGCTGCAACTAACCTCGCGCGTACCCCAGATGTTAATTACCTACGTGATTGACACAGTTCAAGGTTTTGCGGTAGTAATGCAATCAAACGGCTTTACACATCGTTCACTGTAATGGAATAATCCTTTCGGGCCTAGTAAATCGGACCAACCCTCCCTCTTGGTTCCCTCTCCGCACTTACACACGACGATCAGTGAGCCAACGAGGTTCTAGTCCCCGATGATTCAAGATGCCCGTTTTTCGCCTCGATCCGCACGTTGCAGAGGCCTCGGTCAAGGAATTTCATCATCACAGAATGGATAGATATGGGATGGTTACATACTACGTAGTTTGTTGTTGTGAACCGACAACGGCGAGGCTTAACAACATTGCGTCAAGCTTGTATCGACAGTACATACAACACACAGACATAGGTGCACTTGCCAGCTGAACAGATTAACTTCAGCTTTGCTTAAATTTATCTATCTATCTATCTACGGATATCAGCCGAGTCTTCTCATCCATGCACAGTCAATATTTAAGATTGTTCTTTTCTTTTTCCCAGCTCTCCCCCCATGATCTTGATTCTCAAACATGGAGCAATCTGTCAACGGAGGTCTCTGACACAGAAAACCCCACGCTTCGTTCAGAGATATCACACGTCAACGGCGCCCCCCCAAACTCCAGACCCCAGGGGAGGATTTTCCCATCCTCTTTTCTGGCTCTCTCCCCAGCTTCAAACGGTCCAATGAGACATGAGATTTCAGGTCTCGCGCATTGTAGATTTTGGACGGCTGATGCCCAAGACGACAGCCCCCATTTGTGACTGGTGGCACAGGGTCTTATTACACCCAGTTTCGAGATTACGCGAAGCATGATTCTTTTATTTAGACAATAAGAAATGACCTGTATGACGCTTTATCTCTGGCCATGCGTGTCGAACAATGTGAGGCTTTTCACCCACGGTAAGCTTCCTTTGGGCAGTGCATTGTTAATGCGAAGCCTCTCAGCGCCAAAGCAAGTTCAAGTCGAGATCGGGCGTCCTGGAGGGCGTGTCGTAATGAACCAAGAACCAAGAACCAAAAATCAAAGATGCGGACTCTGTCCGGGACGAGACGACAGAGACGGAGACAGAGAGACAGGGGTGTTTCTTCGATCTTGAAGACCCAAGAACCAGCCGAGAACGGCGCAAAGAGGAGTCGACATAGTAGACGCCTTACCAAAGACGTGTAAGCGCTTTAACGCTAGGGTCGGTACCTGGACAGAGCATGCAGGCGCCGCTATCTTAGGTTTATCTCTATCAATTGGGGGGTACGTACCGATAAACATCCATGAGATGGTTTGTGGTTTGTGGTTTTTGTATGTGTCCAACTGGTTACTACGCTGTATCAGATCAATCTGTGGCGGTATCACAGCGACTAACGGGTGCTCGTACAGCCCTGTGAAAGGCTGAGCTATGCTGGTACGTACCCTCGACCTCGCTATCTCTGCCCTGGACTCTACCTATCTCTGGTGCCCCCAGCTCAGCTCTGCTGCTATCTCTATCTCTTGTCTCTCATTGTGTGTCGCGCCTCTATCTATGCCCGTATGTACTGTACCATACCAGGAGATCTGCAACAAATTGTCCCACGCCCAGGACATCCATGGCGTTTTTGGCTCATGGAGACAGACCCGCGGCCGGCATGGGCATGGGCATGGGCATGGGCATGGGTATGGAGATGGATTTGGATTTGGCGTTGGGTTGAGTCTTAAAGATAGAGCAGTACTGTAATGTGAGGCATGTAGTAGGCACGCCAAACAATTATATTAAAGTCTTGCCCCATCACTTGCATTTCCTGTTCCTCTTCTCCATATTCCCTTCCGTTTTTATCCTACTGGGTTGTTTCCATAACTTCCTCTAACCGGTAGAGCTTTCCTTGCTCTTGCTGCTTCCTCTTCAGGACTCACTCTTCACTTACCTGCCTTACTTCACCTTGCTCGTCATTCAACGTGAGAAGGATCTGCTCAGCTTCATCAAGTCTCATCTTGTTCCATATTTCGACAACCTGAACCCGACGAATATACGAAAACGATATCCCACGAGACCCTATAAACAATAATTCAACATGTCTTATGTTATCCCTGGACCCCCGACTGCCTTCAATGGCACCAATGAAGAGCTTGGTGGTGATTCCAGTATGTTTTCCCATCGTCGACAATGCGAAAACTCATCGTCATTACATCCTAATACTAACACGAGTCTTCTCCAGCTACCGAGAACCTCAACCAATGGTACCAATCCGGCGACCAGGCCTTCATCATCCTCTCCGCCTGTCTCGTCCTTCTCATGGTCCCTGGCATCGCCTTCCTGTACTCTGGTCTTGCCCGAAGAAAATCAGCCCTCTCCATGCTCTGGGTTGTCATGATGTCCTTCTCCGTCATTGTCTTCCAGTGGTACTTCTGGGGCTTCTCTCTCGCCTTCTCTACAACTGCCAGCAACCCCTTCATCGGTGATCTCAAGCATTTCGGTCTTATGAAGGTTTGGGGTGCTCCCTCAGTCGGATCTCCTCTTATTCCTGCTCTGCTCTACTCTTTCTATCAGATGATGTTCTGCGCCGTCACCGGCGCTCTTACAGTCGGTGCTGTCGCCGAGCGAGGCCGCGTTGTGCCGAGCATGGTCTTCGTCTTCTTCTGGGCTACTCTTGTCTACTGCCCTCTCGCGTACTGGGTCTGGAACCCCAATGGTTGGGGCTTCGTTAACGGCGTTCTCGACTACGCTGGTGGTGTTCCCGTCGAGATAGGCTCTGGCATGTCCGCA